GGTGCCGGCGCTGGCGCTGTGAGCTGCCTGCGCACGTGGTAGAGACAGAGCGCTGGTGGCGGTGCTGGGCGCTGGCTGTGCGCGCGGTGGAGAGAGGGCACCGATGCTGGGCGCCGGGCGCCGGCGCTGGCGCTGTGAGCTGGCTGCGCACGGGCGCCGGTGCTGATGCTGGCGCTGTGAGCTGCCTGCGCGCGTGGTGGAGACAGCATGCCAGTGCTGGTGCTGGGCGCTGGCTGCGCGCCGGTGCTTGGTGCTGGCGCCCGCTTCTGACAGTGAAGTGATAACAACCGCCGCTTCTGACAGTGAAGGGTATGAAACCGCCGCTTGTAGCAGTGAAGGGCGACCAAGCTTCTGACAGTGAAGTGCCAGCAGTCATGGGCCGCATGAACTTACGCGCGCAACATCATACAGTGTTGCTTTGCCTATTAGCGCTGTGGGGTATTTACATGCTTAAGGTTCTGTTTTGGCCGACAGCTGTGTGAAGGGCTGTACTGTTTGCGCGCATACTTTTGCACGTATAATGTTCTATGCGCAACGTCAGGCTCTCAACCGACCATTGTTTCAGCATGTTTCAGCATGCTACACACACAATTCAATAGTCGTGCTGGATACTGCTTGGCCTTGGGCGAGTGAAGCCTACGGGCTTTCTTTGCCGTTTGCGCGCATACTTTGCGCGCATAAACTTATACGCGCAAGATCATACGGCCTTATCGTTCTACAGATTGTTGCTTCAATGAAGCATGCTACAAAATCAATAGTGGCGCTGGATACTGCTTGGCCTTGGGCCAATGACACTTACGGGCTTTGCTGCTTGCGCGCATACTTTTGTACGCGTAAACTTATACGCGCAAGATCATACATTGTTATTCCCCAAGTAGGGATAGCTATTGCAGATAAGAATGAGCTGGGTGCGCGTGCTTTCGAAAGGGTGTCGGTGCTGGTGCTGGTGTTGTGGTCCTGGGCGCTGGTGCTGTGAGCTGGCTGAGCGCGCGTTTAAGACGGGCGGCGGCGCTGGTCGGGCGCTGGTGCCGCTGCCGGTGTTGTCAGCTGGCAAAGCGCACCGGTGCTGGTGTCAGCTGGTTGTGCACGCGGTGGAGGCGCCGTAAGCTGGCTGCGCAGGCTGCGTACATTCTTGTTCCAGCCAGTCGCATGTCAACAGGTCGTGGGATTCTGCCTAGCTATCTGGGTCTATGCTTGTGTAATTTTTCAGAAAGGAGCTGTACCCCAAAATTGCAACGACAAAATCCTTAAGAAAATGCTACTAGTATAGGGATGTATAGGGATGTATAGGGTATGTAATTGACATCAGTTGACAGGACGTTGTAGATTTTGATGTGTGAATCAATGCCGACCGCATCCAAATCTCAGATATCGCGATTGGTTCCATCTTAGGACGGGACAACACTATGCTCAGCAAATGGTCACCTGTGAGACTTCTACAAACCGCCTATCGCCTAGCCATCCACCAAAGTCTCCACAAAAAAACATTGAATTCACGAAGCAATCAGAGCAACTCAACATTGGCCCGGCAGCGTTCCAAGGTCATAAGCCAAGCCCTTTTTTTATGTCCAGCGCGCTCCTTAAACACCTTACTTAAAACCAGCTCCTTAAACCAGCTCCTTTAAACACTTTCACAAAGATCGAGATCTCCATACAAATATTCTAGCAAAGGGAACCACCCTGGGATGCAGGAGACATATCTCCAGATCCACGGGTTCCATCTCAGGTCCAAGATCACAAGCCGTGCCAAGCCCTGGAAGGCATCTGTTGCAATGCTACTGATCTTGTTGCTGCTCA